ATTTAATTTTAAACGTAATGTACAAATTATTAATTTAACTGTCCACTGCTGATCATAAACCACCCTCTTGTGGGATTTGCCAGTTGTTGCCACACTAAGCAGGCGGCTTAGCAACCGCAGTTAGGCTTTAGAGATGTTTTAAGAGGGACGCTGCTGCCCATTCCTCGCCATTCTTTAGTCGCCTCTTACGACACCCACGGGAAAGGAAGGGGTGGCCTATTCTATGCCGGGAGTTACACGTCAATTTTTATTTATTATTATTATCAATTATTAAAATATATTTATTATATATTATTTTTGAAATTTCTTTCTGCCTGTGCGAATCCGAGCCGGATTATTAATACAACTATAAATGCAAAAGTTTGTAAAGATAAAAGATGTTCGTTATCATTTCATGGAAAAATTACTGAACGGATTTGGATGGAATTTAATACACGAGTAGGTTATATACTAACTTGGCATATAGGACATTTTATGTACTTACTGAGTCACGTGGACAAAGCTGCAGGGTACTGTTAGTAAAAAAAAGCATTTCTTTGTTATCTTCTATTTAGATATTGTTTAATTTGTTTCCCTTTACCACAATCGACGTACCATTACATAAAATCCAAACCGAATACGTACTCGGTTCTGTTTTACGGCCCATGAGATGTCCCCATATTGAGAAGCAATATGTGCTTCGAGACGTCTCTTTACGACGCCATCGAGTTGAATTCAATTTAATATATAGTCACTTGGCAGTAAACATTTGACCTAACACCCGCTATTGTGCCATTCCATTTGGCCACATTAGCGGGAATAAATCGAGTTTTAGTAATAAAACGAACTTATCGATTAGGCATCGATTGTTTCTGTAAACAGAAATGTTAATGGTCTCTTTGTGGTTTTATTTTTGTGAATTTTATTGGTGTGAATTTACTGGGTACAGAGGAATAACACCTGAGTCCTCAGGAATGGCAACGCATGGGGGGTATCATGGGCGAAACAGTATACTCTGTTATGTCCATGGTACTGCTCATTTCTATAGGCGACGGTTACCACTTTCCATCAGGTGGGCCGTCAGCTTGTTTGGCATTCTAAATTGTATAAAAAAAAAATGGTATGCACGAATAAAACAATTCTAATTTCAGTTATTATAAACAGTTTCTTTTTTTATGGGTGACAATGGAATGGCCCTTTCCCCCCATTGGAAGCTATTAGACAAGTCAATATAATTATAGTTTGATTGAAATCAAGAATTAAGACGTATAATATGTAACTAGATAATTTTTATACAATTTAGTTTTAAAGTAACAAAAAGTACACACATAGGAACATTGGTAGACATTTTATTGTTATCGAACTTGTGAAAAAGATCAAAATACCGGACATAGCTGTTGCTGTCTCATACTATCATATGCAATCGAAAGCGGCAGTGAAAATGTGTCTATCGTTATATTTGTGCGTTGTTTATCTACGGCAGGTGATAGTTTTGCAAGCGTCCATTATAAGTTGCTATAGCAGTAGGCGGGTCGTATGCTTAATGCCACCTATGTTAAGAAAAAACAAGGACTTTATTACGATACATAATCTGTCTTGGTCAACACAGTAATAAAAAGTCATCAATGTAAACTTAAAGACGCTAAGAACATTGGATAAAGTCCGGCCCCCCACTTCACACAAGCGTTGTACAACGAGATTGTTGTGTTCACGTCATCACGCGACATGTGCGGTGCACCGAGTGCCGCCCGCGGCGTCGGCGGCGCCCTCTACTCCGTTAAACTAAAGTTAACTACAGTCTCAGTTAACTGGAGGTTAAACGTGAAACCAAATAGTAAGTACTCACAGCTCTGTTGTTTTATGAAAGTCGATATTTACGAATAACGTTATAGATCGATAGCATAACATAATATCTAATTAAAAAATTAATTTAAGACTGACAAAAAATAATGATGCAAGTTGTACTTACAATGGTACATTGTAATTAATTAAATAACACAGAAACAATTTTATTTTCTATTTATTATTATTATTTTTATTTATCAGACGTATAAAAACTTATAAAACAATGTTTTATTCTAACTGTGGCTGTTTACTACACATGACAAGTATAAAACAATTGTGAAAAAGATGTTTAATACATAGTCATCATATCAACAACACACGTTGATCATCTATCAATAAAATATAAGGTAATTGTTTGGAAGAGATTGCTTAGCGATAAGGCTACCTTTTGTAAAACTTCTCATTAAAGTTAACTGTATTTATTACTTTATAAATAGTACATTAAGGTGTAAAATAAATAATTTTGGACAATTATGTAAACAAAATCTCTTCGCCTTATATTTAAAAAAAAAAAAATAAACTTTAATCAAATCAAATCCAGCCAAATCGGTCCAACCGTTTTTAAATACGTTTACTAAAGTATACATGAAATATCTATAAATATCTATAAGGAACTAAGCAATAATACCCGATAAACATATACACCAGTTTAACATCACGTATCTGCACCGGTTCAATAAAGATTAATTACATGTATTTGTAAAAATAAATATTTCATCAACATTATGTAAAAATAACCGTTAGATAACACCTTTATATTAGACGTAACATTTTCAAAGTTCACTTCATCAACAATATTACAATTCAAATTAAGAATTTCTTATGTGCTACGAGATATATTGCTTATTTTAAAATGTAACGTAACACGGTTATTTGCGCTAACCGCCCGCGGTGGAGCCGGCCTGTAAACAGTAGAGCAAGCGCGATGACAGACCTAATACAGAAGGCCTCATTACCCATCTCTTACAAACAAAACTGCTTACATATAATACTCTGAAATATCATAAAAACTAAATTGCTTCGTACTGAATTAGACTTTAAAATCTCTCCCACTGAGGGTTCATTTTCGAGTGATGGTGATTTGAAGAAAGTCATACATAAGTGAAATATACAATAGAATCTTTAAAGATAAGTTTCGTCTATTATTAGGTGTTAGCGTGATTATTTGACAGTTTGAAAACGTTTAGGTACTGATTGTATATTGCGAGGCAATCTGGCTTCCTGCTTTTAATGTAAACAGTATTTAGTGCTGGCGGCGGTCCGATGGAAAATAGTAATATGGTTTATTCTTGATAAAATCGAATAATTATGTAAATAAAATTGTGTAATTTTTATGGTGTATGTTTAAGAACAATATTATGGTAATGATAATACTCCTAACTCCCATACAATCACATCAATAGATTTATGACGTGTGTTATGAGGAACCAAGTGACAAATATTTGGGGACACAATTCTGAATACGTAGACTTGAGCCAACATAGAAAAGTGGGAGGAGGGGAAAGGATTGTTACACAACCACTCTTTGCAATCAACTTCCAGCAGCAGTGTTTCCGAACCAATACGACATCATAACCTTCAAGAAAAGAGTATATTCCTTTTTAAAAGGCCGGCAGCACACCTGCAATGCCTCTGGTGTTGTGGGTGACCATGGGCGGCGGTGGTCACTTACCATCAGGTGAGCCGCATGCTCGTTTGCCCCCTGTGTTGTAAAAAAAAAAAAGGATTGTTAGTAATGGGTCTAACTGACAAGCAATACACACCGTATCAAATCAACTTCCACGTGGTTCACCCTGGTGCCATCGTAGACCCAACGTGGTTAATTCTAGTTGAATTCATCACGATAAGCTAACTGACCTGCTTCATACCATATCATCCCTCACTGATGCCCCGCCAGCGCAGGCGGGGTTACCATTCCAATATCACCCATAAAAAAAGAAAAAACAGAAAAGTTCATTTCACTTGACTCGAATGAGAATCTAACTTGCAAACTTGTTAACGAGAAGCAACTTACACGTCTACCGCTGCACTGCAAAGGTCATTATTATGAAGAACAATTTATCAGAATATCACTTATGTATGACTTGGGAATGAAAAATGAGCAAAGAGTATGATAAAGTATTACAAAGATTCTGAAGTAAAGTAAAAACCGTCACCTATATATATGATCCATTGGTCTTCTATGGACATCAATTAACACAAAAACTATTTTACTTATACGCTATTTGTTAATAAATTATTTCACAGTCATTTACAAAAAAAAAGCATAAGATTGTCTACCACGAGTATAGACATGAAAAGTATGGCGGACAATGCAAAACACACTGTGTTGCTCATGGCGATCCTTCGAAAAGCCAATTATATTTAAAATTATAATATTTACATTTAATTTTTACTTTTTATTTTACTTATAATTTTTTTTTGTTTTCATTCCTCTTGTTTGTTCGTATTTTTTTTTTGTTAACTCCTATTTTTGTTGCTTTGTGCACAGCGCCTTTTATCTATATTGTTGCTACTTGTGAAAACCTATTAGTTGCTTACTTTGTTATACTAAACTGTATCTATTTGCTCTAGTGTAACCCTGGTTTTCCTATGAATAAATATATAAAGACAAAGATTTTTTCAAAGATCTTTACGAGCAAAACTGAACAATTTAAATCTAAATTCGTTAGAAAGTATGATAATTAGCAATTAGAAAAGGTTATAAAATAGATTGTCAGAGAGTTTTGATTGTAATTAACTACCTAAGAAGCACAGACTATTATTAAGAAGTCTATGATTCTATATTTTAATTCTGAATTCCATGATACATTAATATTGTAAATACTGATAATTATTTGAAGGACAATAAATTCAACTAGTATTAATTTTTAATGAACTACCATTTTATATATAGTAGTAATTTATAATATACTAACTATATAAAAAATAAAAATAACTTTAGTAAATATCTATCTTTCTCACTCCCATTATAATGCTTAAAAGTTAAACATATGTGTCAATTTGTTCTATATTCGACTATGTAGTAATGATCTACATACGTAATAATAATGAATCCATAAGAGAGTAATGTAATGAATAAATAAATAAATAAATAAACTTTTAATAAATATCAATTTTAAATAAAATAAAAAACGTTATCAAATTAATCACATAACATGTCAAACACAATACCATCAATACAAGGTATCTGAATCAGCATACCGCTCACTCCACTTGGCGTAACCTTCGCAGATCTGCAACAAAGCACTGAACAGTTGCTCAGAAGGAATATCCACCAGTTCCGAACTTGTGTCCCTGCCGCTCTCCCTTTTCCTCCTTCCATATGACACAAACTGCTGCGGTCGTTTCTTTATGCCCGCGCTCACGAAGAATGTCGCAGGCGCCGCCGTGGTCTGTGCGTAATTCTGTTTCTCTCTAACCGCTTGCACAATCAAACACAGTAAATAACCACCGAAAGCCAGGAACGCCAATGTTGTCACCGACATAGAGAAGATTTTGCTAATTTTACTGTCTTTCTTGCTGCTCATTTCTTCGTAGTCTGTTCTTTTTATCGGCGGCGCCTTTATAGCCATCGCTTGTGCCCCGAAGCTCTCTAAATACGAGGGTGTTGATGTACTAGTGTTCTGGTAAGTGTCTGAGACGAATTCTTGCAAAGAAGACTTAAGAACCAATAGTTTTTCTAAAGGCAGTTCGTTAAGGAATTGCAGGTCTGTCCCACCAAGGTCGGCTCTTGCGACCTCAAGTGCGTACATTAGTGTAAGGATTTGTAACATTTTAATACGCTTACTCTACGCAACGGAGGCTGTGACAATGACTATGGTGTTGTGGAACACCATTATTGTGGTCTGCTGAGCGCGACAAGCGAACGGTCTCGAACGGCCCAGTGCATCTTCATTTATAAAATGTGTGACACATTTTCTAAAGATTCGCTCTTCAACTTTGAAATTCACAAATGAATCTCTTAACTTGGTTAAATAAGGTTGTATATCTTTTATTTATATTTTGTTTAAATATTTTTTATGTAAGTATACACTTACGACTATATACTCCAAATAAATTACATACAAAGGCTTATGTATATATACATAAGCCTCTCCTTGGGGGCTTTTGCCAGTAGTTGACACACTTGGCAGGCGACTGGCAACCCGAGTTAGGCTTTGAAGATGTTTTAAGAGGAGCGCTGCTGGCCATTCTTCGCCCTCCTAAGTCGCCTCTTATCACACCCATGGGAAAGAAAGGGGTGGTCTATGTCGGGACCACACAGCTTATGGTACTTATGGCTTACGGTTAATGTATTTATTGTTATATATTTAGTTGAAAATCCAAATATAAAATTTTATACTGTATAATTATGTTAAAGTAAATGCTGTGAATACCTCTAAATAGGCATGTGCATTAGTATTGTATTATATTTAATGTTTGTTACACATATGTGTTATAATGACGTTCCTTAATAATATATTGACGTTCCTTTAAATAAATAAATAAATTGAAAATAAGAGCACAAATATTGTAAAAACCAGCAATAATATTTTTATAATGGAATTTCCTTGTCCATTGTTTTGGCTACATACCTACCTGTTCGTGTTTTTATTATACAGGGTGTAATATTTTTGCACGCTTTCACTTACATTGTAATTTTATATTACTTTAGTAATTTAACAAATAAAATCATAAAAATAACTTGGATACGAAAGAAACAAAATTATTTTTAGTAGTTATATAATATTGTTAATAGAGCCTGATAAAGGAGGAGAGAAAATATCTAGTGCGGCATAATAGAGGTCAGAGAGGCAATTGAAAAGTGTTAAAAAAGGCAGGAAATGTAGTTTTTTCACGTACCAGCAAATTTATTATATACTTAAACAGCATGACAAAATAATAAAAAAAATATTCTATAATATATTACTGTGCACGGATCTGCTCAGAATGGAAGGAAATTAGTTTACAATTAGCACATTGGTAAGGCGGCCGCGTTGTATATAATTTTATCGCGATTTTTCTAAAGGATGAAGAAGGGATTGTTTGCAATAAATCCAATCAGTTCGACCTATTTTGCTGTTCCCCCTGGAGACCATTGAATTCTTCATGATGGACCGACAACTCTGCTCCATCCTCACCTACCATCTTACACTAGTGCCCCGCTAATGTACACCAATAGCGCAGGCGAGGTTACCACTCCATTAATATCCATTAAAAGAACTAAATAGTATATGTGGGATAAATTAACATTATTATAGACTAGACTGAGACATTTCTATAATAGTCGTACCGTCGTTTGGGTACCTCTATCGTATTCGTGTTTCTGCCATAAAGCAGTTGTGTTTGCATGGCTGTGTTTTAGTTTATAATTAGAATAATGCAATGAAATTACAGGGTACAGAGGCATAACAGCTTAGTCCTCAGGAATGGCTATGTATGAAGAGTATATACATGCCACATAGTGTCGTCTATTCTGTCCATGGTACTGTTTGTATCTGTTTGCGAAGGTTACATATTTCATCAGGTAGATCGTCAGCTTGTTTGAGATTTTAAGTTGCATAAAAAAAGATATATTAATTCAAAACTACCAACGCCATCTACTAGAATCAACAGATAACCAAACTTATAAAGATTCAAATTTATTTGAATTTCGAATATCTATTAATATATTTATTTTTAAATTAATTCCTGTATTTATGGCCACTTATTATTTTGTTTAGAAAACACTCTGTATAAACAAGACAATCATTACTGAAGACATGCTCTACTGTGACAGTTGCGCATACGCAACCATTACTTCGAGTAGCAGAGCGTGACATAGGCATACATCTCTAGTAGTATCGCTCTCACCCTCGAGATGGCGACACATGTGTTTTTATTCTTTCTCGCTATACAAATGGCAACGGGAAGTGAAAACTATAGAAGTGATGGGTTTCTAGACAAGTTAAGCAACGGGATGAAAATCGCAAATGATTTATTAGGTTAGTACTATCAACAATTTTTTAAGTAATATATTTTATAAAAAAAAATATTATATCGTCATTTTTATTATTATATTTTATTATATTAAAATAATTTATTATTATATTATGGTATTTAGTAGTTAACAAAAAAATATGATTAACGTTATTGCATAGTTTATGTATTTATTTTTATTATTAGATATTTTAATATCTAACATTTTGTATAAATAACTAAAAAAACATTCATTTACAAATTTAATGTCGATTCTTTTTAATAAAGTAAATCGCATTTGATAAATAAGAAAAGTTTAATGTTTCTGTTGCTGTTCCGAATTACTGATTTCTTTTAATTTTAAACTATCGCAATGTTCACACATATTTTAAATACACAATCGGGATTTAATAAGATGTAAAAGCTTTTACAGGTAAATACATAGTACATACATGCCTGCTTCTTTATTGCTAACGTTTCGACGTGGATTGCACCACGTCGTGGTCACGACAGGACCACTGCTTGGTCAAAATTTTTTTAATTGCGTTAAGTCCTGATAGTGTGTTTAAATGTCACTGATGAATTTGATTATAAACTACTCATTACACTTACAGTTTTCCAAAATGTGTCATGTGTTCATTTTAAAAACTTAAAAGGTTTAAAACAAAATTTAGAAAATTTATCTAATTTGTCATTAAAAATATCAATATCTGGCTGTTGAGCAATCAGATAATTGAGCAATTTGTTTGTTTAGGGGGCAAACTAGCTAAACAAGAATGTATTACCGTTAGTTACATTTTTTTGATGGATGAAACTGATTGATGATTGATGGATGATTGCTTGGCTGTCTTTCGGTTTAATGGGAGAGATATGGCAAGGTAATTACAGGGGGAAGAGGCATAATGCCTTAATCCTTGGGAATGGTAACGCATGAAGGACATGGGTCATGTTCATGTCTATAGGCGTTGGTTACCACTTTTCATCAGATGGATTAGCTTGTTTGCCATTCTAAATTGAATAAAAAAAGGATTATCTTTATATCCGTGTTGATATAGATCAAAAGGTTAAATAAATGACCCTGAATAAATAAAGAAACCGTATTTTCAGTAAAAACACATTTCTCCGTACATAGATTTACATATAGGTTATTATGCGCATACGTTCATGTGTCTCTCGGCTGTTCTAACTCGGCTGTTCTAACTGTAAGCAGGAGCTGTCAGTACAAGGGTCGTGGGTTCAATTCTCTTACAGGGTTTTAGTATAAAACATAAAAGTACACTCAATTACACGAATTGGCTTCGAGTCTTTAAATCCATATAGTCTATGTGTAAGTTTTTTTTATACAACTTAGAATGGCAAAAAATCTGACGGCCCACCTGATGGAAAGTGGTAATGTGCCATGGACATAACAGAGTATACTGTTTCACCCATGATACCCCCTATGCGTTGCTATTCCTGAGGACTCAGATGTTATTCCTCTGTACCCTGTCAATTCACGCCATATCCCACCCTTCAAACCGAAGCACAGCTATGCTAACACAACTGCTTTACGGTTGATACACGAATGGTACAGAGATACCCAAGCAATCGAATTTTGTACAAAGTCTCCCTCTGGTGGTTTCTCTCAATTTGATTGCCATTTGTGGCAATGACTAGCAAAACCCTCCCAGGAGGAGGCTTATGTTCATCAGTGGGCAATTAAAAGCTGATATGACGATTTACTGCCCTTTATTTTTAACGTTCAACTGTTCAACTTGCCATTAGTATTTTTTTTTTTTGTAAAATAGCTGGCATTTGAAAAAAAATCTTTATGTACAAACGTAATATTGTAAATGTGAAAGAGATTTTTTTTTTGATGGGTGAAAATGAAATGGTAAGCCCGCCTGCGCTAACGGGATACGCTGGCGGAGCACCAGTGAAGGGAATAGATGAGAATGAAAACAGACCAGTTAGCCCATCATGATGAATTCATCAGGAATTAACCATGATAGTTTCCAGGGGATACCGCGAGAAGGTCGACCTGGTTGGGTATATTGCTAGCTTGGGTATTCTTAGTTTCCATTACTAACAATCCCTTTCCCTCCAGAGTTTGTATGTAACCTCCTAATGTTTTTACGACTCAACCAATCGTTGAGAAACTTGACAATTATACGTACTATTTGACGCGAACTTTCCCGATCAATCAATATATCAAGGTCAGGCGGACGCAGTAAAAATTAGTATTAATTAATATACAATACAAGCTGCAGTTTGACCGTTTATAATCAAATAGACTGTTAGCTTGTTTACCATCTTCGTGATTATAAAAAAAAAAACTTTTAGTCTTTCACGCTATAGTTATGTTTTATAAGAGATAGGAACTAAAGGTAAAACTCCCCTAACAGAAGGCAGTGGACAGTTAAAAGCTAATATTAAGGTAAAAAATGATAATTATTTACCTATTTTATTAACCTATGTATTATATTGCGGAATTACTGATTTTTTTATTAGAATTATTTTGTTTAATTTCACTGCTATTACGTACGCGTGCGACTGCCAACACTCGAATATTGACTACTATTATTATTACTAGAAATTATAAAACGTTTCATATTAGCCATCAATCTCCGACTGCAATTACATCCACGCATGTTTTGCGACATTGGTTTCAATTCTAAACGAGGCATCTTCAATTATTTACCTAAATTATATCGATGTTCCGACCAGGTTATACCGACTGTGGTCACGAGAAGACTGGTGTGACACTGTCATGGCATGTCATGATGTAAGCAAAGGTAAATTATTATAAACTAGCTGTTGCCTGCGACTTCGTCCTCGTTTTCGTCGTTTTTCGTAAAATAAGTAGCCTATGTCCTTCCTCACGGTTCAGTGGTTTTGATGTAACAGACACATTTCCCTTCTCTACTCCTATTGATCGTAGTATCTAGTATATATATATATATATATATATATATATATATATATATATATATATATATATATATATATATATATATATATATATATATATATATATATATATGTAGTATGTACAGTGTGTACCTATAAAGGCGAAGCAAGGCGAAGTTACCATTCCATTTATAATATATATATAGTATATTTTTATATGAAGAATAATTGTACCAAGTTTCGTTAAAATCCGTCGAGTAGTTTTTGTTTCTATAACGAACATACAGACAGACAGACAGACAAAAATTTTACTGATTTAATTTTTGGCATCAGTATCGATCACTAATCACCCCCTGATAGTTATTTTGCAAATATATTTCATGTACAGAATTGGCCTCTCTACAGATTTATTATAAGTATAGATATAGATTACCTGAATAATCGTGTTAATTCTCACCTCTAATAAAACAGAAAGAAATCTATATGTTGAAATAAATACATTACTTACAGGTCCCGAATCATTAGCTTTGAAAGTAGCCGATTTCGTTGTTAAAGCATTCCAAACAGGAAACCGACCGCCACCAGCTTACAGAAGGCCAACACTTAACAATATAAACGAAGACAGTTACGAAGACGTACAAGAAAATAAACCTAACTACTATGTCAATGAAGCTCCAAATCCTGTGAATCCGTTACGGTATTTGGTAAAACTGATGGGACTTCAGACAAATCAAATTAGTGCAGTGGCTGTTAATGCCTTGGTGTTCGTTGCGCAAATGGTAAGTACAAGAGGGAATAATTATTAATTGTTACATACATACATATCTGTCACGCCTGTCTCCCATTAGGGTAGGCCGAAACAATGGAACGCCAAATGCTTCGATTCAAACAAACTACTATTGGTTTATTAGATACCAGCTGACCGAGCAAACTTTGTTTTGCACTCTATCGCCATCTACCGAGACTATATTTTTTTTTTTTTTTTCTTATTGAGATTAAAACGACACACTTCTTGTGTCGACCCTTACTAACACAACTTATATATCACTAACATCTATTATATATATCTGGGAACGGGCGAAAGGGGAGAATTACAATATTAAAAAATATTATATATTATAAAAAATAAAAAATATATATAAAAAAAAAAAATATATATATATATATATATATACAAGAAGAAAGAAGAAGAGGCCACAACAAAGAATACACCACGCCGGCATACACAGACCACCAGTGTATGCCGGCTCAAAACCCAGTGACCCGGAGGTAGTTGCCTCCGGAGATGCAGCCGGGGTAAAGGGGTTTACCCCGAGACCCCTACCTCACCCGCCTATACTATTAAAGGCGGGCAAGAAGACCCGGATGATGATGAGATTAAAACTAACCTGTCTTTTAAGTTAGAATAAACAATAAACGTTTGTAAAATTCAAATTATTGTAACTTATGTTACTTCTTTAATGTATTTTCCTTTTTTTTTTGTATATGTGTTCTTTTGTCTGTTATTTGTGCATTGTAAGTAATGCAAATAAATTTTATACATCTATTTACCTATCTATAATTTAAGATTGTGTTACACCCAAAAAAAAAATGGCTAAAGTCGTAAGAAAATCGATTGAGTATTTTTCTTTATTAAAAAAAGAAAAGCAGTTATGTCTGTTTAGAAATTAATTTGATTATGATAAAATTTCTATGGAACATTAGTATTACTGAAAGGATTATTTAAGTAGTATTATTTAAAAAAAATAATTATCCAAGTTAATTTATAACTAAGGGAGTTATGAGGTAACACACTAAAAAAATACCACTAAATTGAGAGCATCCTCTTTTTTTGAAGTCGGTTGAAAATTGATTGAGCGATTTCAGAGATTGGCGCGAACGAATAATCATGACACGGGATTATTATATAATGAGAATCGTGACACTTTTTGATGATGGCTGATGTGATGTAGATGAAATAAATTTGTTTTAAATAATACTTGTACGTTTTTTTTATACAACTTAGAATGGCAAACAAGCTGATGGCTCACCTGATGGAAAGCGGTAACCGTCGCCCATAGACATGAGTAGTACCATGAACATAACAGAGTATATTGTTTCGCCCATGATACCCCCTCATGCGTTGCCATTCCTGAGGACTCAGGTGTTATTCCTCTGTACCCTGTAAATTCACGCCATATACCATCCTTCAAACCGAAACACAGCCATGCAAACACAACTGCTTCACGGTTGAAACACGAATGGGACAGAGGTACTCAAGCAATCGACTTTTGTACAATACAATAATACTAATACTATAAGACTAATATTTTATAAACGGCTAGAGAGCTTAGAGTAAAGCATTTTTTTTAAAAGATGATAGTGGAACGGTTACTCCGCATGCGCTAACCGTATACATCATCTTCCTACCCTTATCCCAATTATTATTTGGAGTCGGCTAATATGTTTTTATTCATATTACAAAAAGATTTAGCTTATACTTTTACGACCGGCCACCAGCCTGACGTCAACCCTCTTTGGGAAACGCTAACGATATACAATGACCATAAATCTTTATTATTTCAGATATCAACATTTTTCACGGGACCTAAACGCTCACATGGACAGTATCGATCTGAAGATCCGACAAATTGGATACTCAACAAGAATTCTGGACGACTACAAGAATTAATCAATACTGCGAAAAATGAATCAATATTGTACGATATAGACGAACTTATCAAACAACAAGGTTCCGACGAGGAAACTAGTTGCATAAGATTGTTGGTTTGCAAAATTACACCTTATGTGCATAAGATGCAAAATGCAGTGTTCGGTGAAAACAATAGCAGCAATGCTGATAATGGAAATTTGAGAGATCTTCGTGGTTCCGCTGTGATGTACCGCCATCTACCGACTGCTGATGAAGTTAAAGCTACCAGCGACATCTGTGAACGGAGGCATAAAGATTGTGATTTAAATGAATGATTATTTTCCCGCTCCATACAAAATGCATCTAGCCTAGCCAGAGGTCTAATATAGGTCTAGTATTAGGGGCGTTTAACAGTACTCAGATATAAAATTAATAAAAAATAGAGCCAAAAAATGTAAATTAGGTATGAGTAATATATAGAAATAATTATTATTAATTAGAACTAGTGTCAAGAGTTTCTGGGTTGACTTTTTTTATAACACGATTACCAAATAATGGCTTTGTGTTCTCTCGAGGCATACAACAAGTGACAATCATTTTTAAACTATTATTAACCTAAAAATCCAGAGGTATTAAGTATTATAATTCATAGTGAGAGTAAAGAGAGAATAAGAATAAATTTAAAATTCCATTTTTGAATCTCTAGACAATCGTCAAGCACGAATGTCATCTATATATAAAAAAAACGATGCCGAGTGATTTACTGACGCATTTATCAACGCACAGCCGAAACCACTGGACCTAATGTCTTGAAATTTTGCAAATAAATTATTTATACTACACAGCGTAAGCGAGCAATAAGAAAGAAATTCTGAAAATAAGGGAGTAAAACTTCCAAGGTTCACGCGTATGAAGAGCTAGTTGACTTTATTTTATAGATAATGGATAATTAAAATTTACAATAAAAAAATTTAAATATGTCCCAAATAAAAATATGTCCAGTATAAAAAAAAAAAAACCTAATAACTAAGTAGTTTTTGCCCTTAATTACGTATGCGAAAATTTTAAAATAGTGCAATAGATTTATATAGCATATATACATATACCAGTTTTTAATTATAACTCCACAAATACAACTGTGAATCACTGTGTGTCACATCCAATTTGGTGCAGTATTTTCTTGCGTGATATAGAACGGAAGAATATATTAAAAAAAAATCTAAAACTATTATTGTGTTTTTTTTTTCTATGTACAAATATTGTCTAGTTACAATTTTATTATAATAATAAGATTACTAAAAAGATAAGAGGTATAGTTAAGTTACACACCTGATGACATAAAATACATCGCTACAAATAACATCTTACTCGACATATCATAGTCCCCAAGATACAGGTCTGGCCTATTTTGGGGACTGATGGTAATGCAGATATTTCCTCGTTGAATATAAATTGTAAAACTTGTAAACTGTACCTTATGCAACTGTATCTTTCTTAAAAAATAAATATATTATAGATATTATTTATCTTAAAATTCCTAACACTGACAGGAAATAGCAGCGAACTTTAGAAAAGGCGAACACAAAACATCAAAGAGATCACAGTGTTCCAGGCTTTTCTATTTGAAAAAGTTCGTCTCTTAATAATAAAACTACACACTAACGTATACTATAAGATGATCATTACATCATCTGAACCATTATCCACCCACTGCTACACATAGGCCTTTTTTTTATACAACTTAGAATGGCAAACAAGCTGACGGCCCACCTGATGGAAAGTGGTAACCGTCGCCTAGAGACATGAGCAGTACCATGGACATAACAGAGTACACTGTTTCGTCCATGATACTCCCCTTACGTTGCCATTCCTGAGGACTCAGGTGTTATTCCTCTGTACCTTGTAAATTCACGCCATATCCCACCCTTCAAACCGAAACACAGCCATGCAAACACAACTGCTTCACGGTTGAAACACGAATGGGACAGACAGACAGATCCTATAAGATAGGTGTAAGAAAAATTCTCATCGCCAAGTTTCAAGTGTCTATCTACTTATGAATGAACTTAGCAACAACTTCAGCATGCTTACATAATGCCAAGTAGTTGGTCCGCTGTTATCTATTTTAGTTACATAATATTTATTTTATATCATAATGCTAAGAGGAAAGTCTGCTTGTTTATTGCAACGTGTCATTATAAATTCACGCTATTTCCTTTTTGTCTTATATATTTTCAGCAGTTAACTGTCCACTGAAGAGAAGACTTCAAGAAAAGAGCATATTCCTTTTACAAAGGCCGGCGGCACACCTGCGATGCCGCTGGTGTTGCGGGTGATCACGGAAGGCGGTAGTCACTTACCATCAGGCGAGCAGCATGCTCGTTTGCCCCTTGTACTATAAAAAAAATATTTTTATTTAAAAACTAAACTAATGAACCGACTATGATAAAATTTCTATGGGATCAATCCGCAAGTATAGGTGGTATATATAAGTAATGGTGGTATATATATTTTATACAACTTAGAATGGCAAACAAGCTAATGGCCCACCTGATGGAAAGCGGTAACCGTCGCCTATAGACTTTTATATTTATATTGATTTTTGTACAAAGTCTCCCTCTGGATAATATAGGATATATATATATATATATATATATATATATATATATATATATATATATATATATATATATATATATATATATATATATATATATATATATATATATATCCTTCTCTCATAACTCCGTCAATTGTACAATAATTTTCCAAAGCGGTTTACAACTGGCGGAGTTATTACACCAGTTGAATTAAGAATCCCCTTTTTTAAGTCCATTGAAAATATAGTTTTTGATGGCGGATGCAGATAAGAAAGTGTTCCTTAAAATTAATTAAAATTAAATATATATATATATATATATATATATATATATATATATATATATATATAAAATATCAAGGTGCCGGACAACTCAGGTCTCCGCGAGCCGGCGGACACTCGGCCAGTGACCAACGGGAGAAAGTGAACACTGCCCGCGGGCCGGCGCTGCTGGTCGGTGACCCCATCCCAATTCCGGCCTCACGCACACGGCTATAAATTATCTCCAATACGTTTATAACATAATTCTGGACGTTTGACTCGTTTAAAAATAAAAATTATTACACAATCATTTAAAAGGATCATCATCTTATCAACCGTTAACCGTCCACTGCTGGACATAGGCCATTTTAATGATAATGGGGTGGTAACCCCGCCTTCGCTAACGGTATACATTGGTGGGGCACTAGAGAGGGATGATAGGTGAGAATGAAAAGGCAGCTCAGTGAGGTCATTGTGATGAGTACAGTGAGTAGAATTCAGTACAATGATTTCCAGGGGGGTCCACGTGGAGATCGACCTGACAGGGTATATTGCTAGCAATGGGGTCTAGTAGTCCGCATTACTAATAATCCCTCCCCCTCACCCTAAAAAAAAGAAAATTTAATCTAAAAGTTAAGTTAGGTGTAAAGATATATATATATATATATATATATATATATATATATATATATATATATATATATATATATATATATATATATATATATATATATATATATATATATATATATATATATATATATATGTCTAATTTAATTGTATAGCTAAAGTTTGTTGATTAATTAATTAGATTGGTAAGCAGAAGAAGGCCCATGACTTCACGACACAGGGACTCCTAGTGTGAAATCTTAGGAACAAAATGTATAATTGTTACATGTCTTTTTAGTTCCAATATATATTATTATTAATCAAAGCACTGAATCTACGTCAGAACACCAACTAGACAGACTGTGGTGTCACGGATAATGGACTGTTAAAAAAGGGGATTGGTAGCCCCATTGGTAGCAATACACCCTGTCAGATCGACCTCGTCACGGTTCCCCCTAGAAACTATCATGTTCGAATCTGAGTTTTTTTTTTATACAACTTAGAATGAGAAACAAGCTGACGGCCCACTTGATGGAAAGTGGTAACCGCCATCTATAGACATGAATGGACATAACAGAGTATACTGTTTTGCCCATGACACCCCCATGCGTTGCCATTCCTTAGGACTCAGGTGTTATTCCTCTGTACCTTGTAAATTCACGCCATATCCCATCCTTCAAACCGAAACACAGCCATGTAAACACAGCCGCTTTACGGTTGAAACACGAATGGGACAGAGGTACCTAAGCAAACGACTTTTGTACAAAGTCTCCCTCTGGTAATGAATCCAAATCCAAACTAACTGACCTGCCTTTTCATTGTCACTGGTGCTCCACCAGCGTATACCATTAACGCAGGCAGGATTACCATATCATTATCACCCATTAAAAAAAATCTAAACATATACTTAAAATAACTTAATAATTTCTCTCAAAAACAAAATATCCACAACATTTACCATTATTACTATTCCATTATTATCCATTAAAAAAAAAAAACAAAAAAAAAAATACTGTATAGACAACACAGTATTTTTTTTTGTTTTTTTTTATTACTCATAGTTCACACACAGATACGTGTTTAATACCAATAAGCAAATTAAATTCATTTCATAATAGTGATGCAATAATTAGATATGTATGAGCCGTTGGTGAGTGGTGTTACGTAATGTATGAAAGTCAGAAAGTATGCCTTTGTCTAACTTTGTTCTATGTTTACAAACACGAATATTTAGTTAGACACTGGGCGCAATAGTAAGGCTTTATCTGTACCGCTCTTATTTTCTCCTGTAGGTTTGTTAAAAAAAACCTTTAATGGTAAATGTAAACCCAATACATGAGGGTAACTCTGTCCCAATTGTGTTTCAACCGTGAAGCAGTTGTGTTTGCTTGGCTGTGTTTCGGTTTGAAGGGTGGGATATGGCGTGAATTTACTGGGTACAGAGGAATAACACCTGAGTCCTCAGGAATGGCAACGCATGGGGGGTATCATGGGCGAAACAGTATACTCTGTTATGTCCATGGTACTGCTCATGTCTATAGGCGACGGTTACCACTTTCCATCAGGTGGGCCGTCAGCTTGTTTGCCATTCTTGTTGTATAAAAAAAAAATACTGACAAAAAGAAGTTCAAGATGAACTTAGGTAAAAAATAATGATGACCTGCAAATAGGTGGAAATGGTGGGAAATGGTAACCGTCGTTTATAGGCATGGATCACCATAGACGCAAGACAAGTTTTTAGAGAAATTTTGTGTCTGTATGTTTGTTGCCGTGTGATCTCGGCATAGAATGGACCACCCCTTCATTTCTCGTGGGTGTCGATAAGAGGCGATTAAGGGAACTTAATGATCAAGGGATGGGGAGCAGTGTACTTCTTTACCTCTTTAAATATACTAAAACCTAAGTGCGATTGCCAATCCGTCTACGTAACTACTACAAGTTAGTTATTGTAATGTTTGTTCCAGTATTACGCAGCAAATTGAATGCTCTATCCCTGAAGGTAGAACTTAAAATCTGGCATATGTTTTATCATAAATCTTAAATCATGTCCTACAACCTCAATGGTCGCGTACTGCGCGGTTTCAGAGATGTTTCCTCTCACGAACACTCAGGTTGTAGAATGAGCTCCCTGCCGAGGTTTTCCCAAGAGACTACAGCATGGGGTTCTTCAAAAGGGGGGTAAAAGGTTTCTTCAGGGTCGGCAACGCACGCGTAACACCTCTGGTATTGCAGGTGTTCATAGGCTACGATAACCACTTACCATCAGGTGGGCTGTATGCTTGTTTGCCACCTCAGTGGTATAAAAAAAAAAAAATTCGTCTATTTTGTCTATAAATAAAATAGATAAATTGAAATTATTAATTAGACCAACAAAGATTACAACAGTAACATTGTAATAATCATTTGGTAGAAACAATAAAGAGTATCTATCTATCTATTTTATTGGGTTTTATACTTTTAATATATACGCATACAAAGTAACACGCAAATAACTACTAAATAAAAATTTGATTTTTTTTAATTGGTTTATTTACCAACTACAAAAAGTGACGGGAAAGGGATTGTTAGTAATGGGATCTAATTGGCTCATTGCTAGCAATGCATCCTATCAGGTCGACTTACACGCGGTCACTCCTGGAAACCATCGTGGTTAATTCTTGTGGAACTCATCACGATGGGCTAACTGACCT